CCAGAATCAAAAATCTGAAGCATTCTCCATATTTGATATTAAAAACAAGATACCGGATTGAAACAGCGAAAATGCATAGTGTAAAAAAGAAAAATTTATTTCTCGGTTTACATCAGCTGCGTTATTGCGCCGCCCACTTGCTTCCAGTCACCCAAGAGGCCACTTAAGGAGGGCCACGGTTCCATGGAAGAAATAAGTTAAGTGAATGAACGAAATTCTCGATATACTGAGGGAAGTAGTGTAACGTATAGTAAAGCTGATGAAGAGAAGAAGGACCTCATTACCTTGAGGAACTGGAAGGGTGGTGAACAAGAAGATGGACATTATGATTGGCAGACTTCCATAAACAAAACTGGAATCTCTAAGTTAAAGGAACATGTAATATTCAGAAGAGGACTCAGTACGATGCATCCTCTTCGAGTAGTACAAGAGGTGATTCAAACAAGCAGTCAATTTCGGCTCCCTTTCAGCTGCTTGTTCGTTGATTTAGAGAAAGCTTTCGACTCAGTCTATTCTTGACCTGTGTTAGATGTCTTGAAAAGCCACATGATGTGATAAAAGAAATAGAGACCCCATCGCTGCTATTTACAAGAACACGATGGCTGGTATACAGCTTGCTGAACGAGGCCAACATCACCGCCTGACCTGAAATAAACCTGACGAAGATGAGGTCATCATCATTGTGTGCATGGTTCCACAGTTGAATGAAGTTGCCAATGTAACAGCGAACAAAGCTTAAAAAAGCAGGAGTAAAATGACTTGGAGAACTTTTCGACGATTGAAGCGCCCATCTTCCATATTGCAAACATTTTTTCAAAAAACTGAAAAAATTTATTTTTCCAAAATAAATCCGATATTATGGGGTTGCTAGCAAATTATTTTCAACAAATATTTTGTTCGCATGCCCAATGTGTTATTCGGGCATAAATAAGTAATCGGTATAATAGGCTTAGTTCAATACATGTTATTGATCCAAGGCCACACCTAGCATTTTGAGGCTTCCACGATGATGAAGTCGTAACAACCAAACCATTTCTGCTCCATGTATAGGTATGACACTCAGAATTCATATCTGTCTTTCTGAGATGGAAACATTTAAATATCAGGGTATACAGCACAAGAGAACGAGCACTACGTTCAGGATATCAAAGAGTTTCAAATGAATGAGGACAGCAGATTGCGGCTCTGAGAAAAATCTATTTTATGAAAACTGTGCGAATCAGATTGTAGCTTGAAGTTTCCTTTTATGTAATGTTCTGATTCGTGCAAATCAGGCAGACCTTGCATTATTACGTGTAAAGGTTCCGTTTTCCCATAGATCTCTCATGTATCTTCAGAAGTAGGCGCTTGGCGCTTGAAACGAGAACAGAGACCGAATCTATTATATGGAATAAAGGTATTTTCGATTAAGCAGAAAGTACTTACAGTAGTGGAGGACAAGATTTGGGCATACGTCAAAAGGCACAAACAAAATTCGTCATTTCTTCTACTTACTGGAAAATAGTAGCAATGATTAGAATTGCCAAGTGATATTTCCGTTATACGTGTAAACTATTGGAAGCTCAGAAAGTACGGCGATGATGCAAACCTCAATCCAATGAGAACACTATCCTTCAGGATGCACCCCCTATTGAAACGCCGCATGTCGCTAAGTAGTTTCCTAGTGCCTTTTACTCCTTGAACTATGAATAGTGAGCGTTCGTCTTGCAAAGGCGTTCGCCATTTCACAGTCATTGAGTAAACAACCATGTCGTAGATTTTATATCTCCAATTTACTTGGTTCATACGTCGGTACCTTTAAACTAAATATTTGCTTCATGCCTGTCGATTTGTGTCTACAGTAAAGCCGTACCGAGCACGCACAATTACGGTATGTCGTAATGTAAAGCAGAACCGAGTCCATAATGGGAAGTTCGAGTCCAGCGGAGCGTAATAACCTTTAACCATGAATTAATCAGCGCCCG